CCGGCGGACGCGGAACGGGCCGAGTCGACGTCCGCGCATTCGCTGCCGTTGAAGGGCGCGAGGTCCGGCTCCTCGATCTCGAGCTCCTCGCGCCGCGGGTCGCTGCCGCTCCGCCGGAGCGGCGGCCGCGCCAGGGCGTCGTCGTCGCTGCTCGCCCCGGCGAGGTCGATCTCCCGCGGGGCGCCCGCGGCGCCGTCGCGGAGGCCCTCGTCGTCGCTGTCGTGGAGCGGCGGCTCGTCCTGCGGGCCCTCGAGGAGGACGCCCAGGCCGCAGGAGATCTGGCCGAGGAAGGCCGACGCCGATTTTTGCAGCCCCGACGTCGCCATCACATCATTTTTGCTTTGAATTCTTTCAGTCACTTTCAACACCTTCAAGTATCCATCATTTGGTGCGGGCTGCTTCCTCACGACTGGGGGACTTTGGTCCTTTCTGGTTCGCCTCGACGCTCGGAGGCGGGACGCCGCTAGCAGCACCGGCCCGGGTTTCGGCGGCGCCATGTCGAAGCGCATCACCCGCTTCGAGGCGAACCAGCCCGACTGGCAGATCACGATCCAGTACGTCGGCACGCCGAGTTTCGAGCGCGTCCTCCGGCGTCCGCCGGCGGGGGGGGGGCTGCGCGGCGCGCGCGGGGCCGTCCCTCGCGGGGCCGGGGCGGCGCGCGGCGGCGCGCCGCTTCAACGTCGCTTCAACGGAAATGGCCGCCGCAGGTGCCGCTACTCGATGCCGTTCCGGTGGCTGACGAAGCCCGTGTGGAAGATGAAGACCCACTTCAACGAACTCTTCAACGTCTACAAGGACGAGCGCATCGACCTCAAGACCGTGCGCCTCTCGCGCAAGCTCGGCGCGCGCCGGCGTCGCCCCGTCGACGGCGGTTTTTCTTTCCTTCGCCGACGGCTTTCGTCTCAGGCGGCGAGGAGCTCACGGACGTCGGGCCGTGCGGCAAGCACCTCAAGGACGGCGACGTCCTCACGCTCGCGCCCCGCGACGGCACGGTCTGCGAGAACCTCGACGAGATGGAGTGCGTCACCTTCCAGATGGGCGACGGCATCTACTGGTAGCGCGGCGGCGGCGCGCGGCCGTAAGCCGCGGGGCGGACGGCGCGGCCCGGGGGGTGTTGGGGTCTAGGCCGGGGCGCCGCGCGCCGTGGCGGACGGCGGAGGGTCGCGATTCGGGCTGCGGATTGATGCGAGCACGTCGGGCAAACCAGCCGACGTTGAGTCGATATTGAAGTGCAAGGTCGAGATCGACGCGATGCTCGGCAAGCTCCGAGCTCTGGCGCTCGTCTTCGCCGGCGCGTCGGCGCTCGCGCCGTTGCAGCCGGTGCAGCGCCGCGACGTCCTGCGCCGCGCGCCGGCCGGCGTCGCAGCGATCGCCGCGTCCGCCGCCAACTCGCGGCCCGCGCGCGCCGGCGAGCTCTCGGCGAGCGAGGAGGCGCGCAAGCTCGAGCGCGAGACGCCGAAACCG